AGGATTTTGATACACTTAATTCCAAATTGTTGCGGACTAATACTGGATTTCTTGCTTACAGAGTTCGGATTGCTCCGGACATTTTGCGGATTAAGTTTTTTTTAACTAGATTAAGCTCGGATTGTTGCGGACTGATTCCGTATTCTTTACATATTGATTTCCGATGATTCCGTTCTTATTTTAGAAGAATTCTTCACCAGTCATAAATTTGGATTGTTGCGAACTAATTACGGACTGAATTCGTAGACATTCAGGATTACTCCGGAGTGTTTTCGGATTCAGGTTTTCATTCGGATTGATATCAAACTAGCGCGGATCATTTTCAGACCTTTTTCGTACAATTTTCGGACTAATCCGTACTAATCTGTCCGTATTTAATCCGGAATTAGTCTGAAAATTTTACCAGGGATCTCAAAATTATTGGAATTAGAATTAGTTTCCATTTTAATTTAAATACTGGAGTTTTAACATTTTTCATGTTCCGGAGTTCGTTTTATACAACATAATAGATTTTCAATATGCCTATCTAGCGCCCTGTTATATTGTCCCACCCAAAAACTGTTGGAAATTTCTTCATTTGTCGTTTGAAGTAACATGTATAAGTAAAAAAAAATTTCTGGTTCCGGAACCTAATAATCGCAACATTGGCGCAAATTATGCGCAGGATTTCATTTAGCCTAGGTTTTGTGTTTATATCAGTTGATTAAATGAAAAATTAAATTTTGTTGTCTCTATTCTTAAACCATTGGTTTCGCTCATTAGCAATATTGATTCTACACAGTTTTATGAAAAGTATCAAATTGATAGTATATTGCAGATCAAGTTGTGGCAACGTTTTGATACTGTATAATGTATCAAGTTGATACGAATATAACTATCTTTTTTAAGAATGATAGTCAATACAGTATCATTTTTTGATACGTGTATTTGTATCAATGTAATACTGTCATGGCCGGTTCGCATTAACTTGAAATTTAAGTAATCAATTTATTTAGTTTTATATACTCTTATGTATTAAAAATTGTTTTATTTTACATATTAACAGTGACAAATGTGAGAAATTATATAAAATGAGCACATTATTTAGAAAAAACTTGTATTGAAATACACTAACCTCAATTCACGTTGTTGTGACATTTCGATTAAAGGTAACTTTACAATTTCTGGAGATTTTTGGCTCAAGGTATAGGGAAATATTTAAGGGTGCGTTCATTCCGTTCTTAATAGTATGTATTTAAAATTTGATTATTACTATTGCTGATGAATTCGATGTTATTTAATATCAAATGGTAAATAATTATAATTTATGTTATATATATATAATAATAGTGGTTTTCGTTATTTGATGTTTAATAATTTTTTATATATTTAACTGTGTAGGTCGATATTTTTAGAAAAAATATCAGTATAAAAGTGACAAAATGTAGTTTCCAGTGAATATAGGGTGTTTTAAATAGAATATTTAGTGAATAAAAAAAGGAAAAATTAGAAAAACTTATTATATTTGACAAAAGTAATCATTAAAGCATTTATTTATTACATATTTAGAGCAGATTAATGTTTACTTATTGAATAATTAATGTTTAAAGTTGGAGATGTCAGTTCTACCGTGAGATGTATGCGTGTGTGTGTAAAGCGATAATAATATACTACTGATATATCGCCGCGCATTTGTCACGACAGATGGCGGGACTGACATTCGAACTGCTTTCTGTTTTATCACATTCAAAACAAGAAATAGGAAAACCAACTTTTCAAGATGAATTTTATTTAAATCAATTCTAGAAATTGATATTGAAATTAACCTTTTTTTAATTTAATTGCTTACAAAGACAATTATTAGTATATTTAATAAAATATGAAAAATAAAAACGCAGAAATAAATAAATAATTATACTAAGAAAGATAAAATAGGCAATTTTTTCCCGTTTTCTTAAAGTTATTAGAAAATCTAATTTTTAGACCAATTAAAATGAGATTCTAACTCCTCCTACTTTAAGAAAGCAATTTTTTTTATTCGTTGGTTCAACTTTACAAAAAGGGAGTGAATATTTAATTTTTAAAAAGTTACATTTATTCTTGACCCATTAAGAAAAAAAGACTTCTGGCCAATAAAAATAAACTCCTCCTATTTTCAAAATGCAATTTTTTATTTGTTATAGTTGACTTAAACAAAATGGAAAAAATAATTAATATTTGAAAAGTAAAATCTATAATACCAATCCCCAAAGAAAAAATGAATGATTTAGACCAATAAGAATTATAAACAAACTCCTCCCATTTTCAAAATCAATTTTTCTATTTGTTGGTTGAGTTAAACAAAATGGAGAAAAAATTAATATTTAAAAAATAAATCATATTATTCCAATCCCCAAAAGGAAAAATGGATGATTTAGACCAATTAAAATAAAACTTAAACTCCTCCTTCTTAAAGAAACCTTTTTTTGATTTGTTGCTTCAATATAGAACAAAATGGAGAAAATATTAAAATTTATAAATATAAAATTTAGTCCCCACCCCCAAAAGATAAAATGCATGTTTAAGACCAATTAAATTATCATTTAAACTCCTCCTATTTTCAACTTTTTTATTTTTTATTTTTTTTTTATTTTCAACTTTTTTTTTTAAAAATATAAAATTTAACCACAAACCTTTCCGAAAAAATAGGAGGAGTTTTAATTTAATTTTTTATTGTTTACTAGACTTTATTTTTTCTTTTGGGGGTTGGAATTATACGTTTTATTTTTCAAATATTAATCTTTTCTCTATTTTGTTTAACTTAACCAACAAATAGAAAAGTTGATTTTGAAAATAGGAGGAGTTTAAATCTTTTTTTATTGGCTAATAGCAGTCAATTTTTTTGTGAGGGGTGGAGACTAAATTTTATATTTTTTGAAGTTTAATATTTTCTCCATTTTGTTCTATTGAACCCACTGATAAAAAAATGCTTTTATTAAGAAGGAGGAGTTTAAATGTTAATTTAATTGGTCTTAAACATCCATTTTATCTTTTGGGGGTTGGGACTAAATTTTATATTTTAAAATATTAATATTTTCTCCATTTTGTTCTATTGAACAAACTAATAAAAAAAGCTTTTATTAAGAGGGAGGAGTTTAAATGTTACTTTAATTGGTCTTAAACATCTATTTTATCTTTTGGGGGTTGGGACTAAATTTTATATTTTTAAATATTAATATTTTCTCCATTTTGTTCTATTGAAGCCACAAAAAAAATAGTTTTCTTTAAAAAGAAGAAGTTTCAATTTTATTTTAATTGATTTTCAGTTATATTTAACTCAACTAACAAATAAAAAATTGCATTTTGAAAAATTAGATTTTCTAATAACTTTAAGAAAACGGGAAAAAATTGCCTATTTTATCTTTCTTAGTATAATTATTTATTTATTTCTGCGTTTTTATTTTTCATATTTTATTAAATATACTAATAATTGTCTTTGTAAGCAATTAAATTAAAAAAAGGTTAATTTCAATATCAATTTCTAGAATTGATTTAAATAAAATTCATCTTGAAAAGTTGGTTTTCCTATTTCTTGTTTTGAATGTGATAAAACAGAAAGCAGTTCGAATGTCAGTCCCGCCATCTGTCGTGACAAATGCGCGGCGATATATCAGTAGTATATTATTATCGCTTTACACACACACGCATACATCTCACGGTAGAACTGACATCTCCAACTTTAAACATTAATTATTCAATAAGTAAACATTAATCTGCTCTAAATATGTAATAAATAAATGCTTTAATGATTACTTTTGTCAAATATAATAAGTTTTTCTAATTTTTCCTTTTTTTATTCACTAAATATTCTATTTAAAACACCCTATATTCACTGGAAACTACATTTTGTCACTTTTATACTGATATTTTTTCTAAAAATATCGACCTACACAGTTAAATATATAAAAAATTATTAAACATCAAATAACGAAAACCACTATTATTATATATATATAACATAAATTATAATTATTTACCATTTGATATTAAATAACATCGAATTCATCAGCAATAGTAATAATCAAATTTTAAATACATACTATTAAGAACGGAATGAACGCACCCTTAAATATTTCCCTATACCTTGAGCCAAAAATCTCCAGAAATTGTAAAGTTACCTTTAATCGAAATGTCACAACAACGTGAATTGAGGTTAGTGTATTTCAATACAAGTTTTTTCTAAATAATGTGCTCATTTTATATAATTTCTCACATTTGTCACTGTTAATATGTAAAATAAAACAATTTTTAATACATAAGAGTATATAAAACTAAATAAATTGATTACTTAAATTTCAAGTTAATGCGAACCGGCCATGACAGTATTACATTGATACAAATACACGTATCAAAAAATGATACTGTATTGACTATCATTCTTAAAAAAGATAGTTATATTCGTATCAACTTGATACATTATACAGTATCAAAACGTTGCCAAATAAAATGATACTTTCCAGAAAACTGTGTACCAATGGCTAGAAACAATTTTTGTGCAATTTCCATTCTTTAAGGTAAAGTCAAAATCTTGAAAATTATGATATTGCCAATCATATTAGTTTTTAAAAAATTTATAAGTTTTTGTAACAAATTTCTTTAAATTTTTGTAAAATGGGCACATAAAATTTGATAGAAAAGTAAAAAATTGTATCTAGCCATTGCCCATACTTTGCCTGACTCTTTCCATTATTTGGAAAAAACCCTCTCAAGGCTAAAGGCTAACTTAAAGCTCAAAACTTGTGTTAGGCCAATCTTAACCCAGTGTGCACGTTCTGGAACTGTTCTGTAACAGTTAATGAAAATAAAGAACAGTTACAGAACGGTTCCGGAATTGTTCCGAAATGTGCACACTGGGAAGTAATAGACAAAGTTTCAGCTTCAAGCAAATCTTGAGCTTTAATTGAGCCTTGAGATAGTCAACATTTTGTTACGCGGGTTTCTTTGTGAATTTAAAGAAATTTACAAAAACTGATTACATTTAGGGTAGAATTGATCGTCGCATTAATAGGTTATTGGTACATCCACTTATAAAAAAATTGGTAGAAGAAGTGGAAAGATCTGGACTGGAACATGAAGGATTGTATCGCTTATCTGGTAGTAAAACTGAAGTACAAAAGTTGGAAAAAGATTGTCAATTTTTAGACACGGATATATCGCAATATGATGTAACTGCAATTACATCATATCTCAAAGAACTTTTCCGGTAAATTTTTATTCACAAAACATTTACTATAATGTAATGAGAGAGAAATTACGAAAAATAAAATTTTTTAGGAATTTGAGACCATCACTTATCGATGAAACAACATTCAATCAACTCTCAGATGCCTTGAAAATGGAAAATTCGGAAGACTTGAAAAATAAAATTACAGATATAATAATTAAACTTCCACAAGATATTCGAGATACTCTTGCTTACTTAATGGTACACTTGCAAAAAGTAGTAGAAAAGAAGGAGATAAATAGAATGAATCCTAAGAACATTGGTATAGTCTTTGGACCAACTTTGATGAATTCTCAGTATGATGACCTAATGGCAGCCGCTGCTTTAAATAACCAACAAACGAAGGCAGATAATTGTTTAATTTCAAAATTTGCAAATCATTAAGTTTTTAATTTTAGAATTAAATGACAATAGTTTTTTTTCTTTTCTTTCTATTGTAGATCATTGAGAAACTTTTGGAACTTCCATCAAGTTTCTGGAAGGAATTGATAAATTATGAATCGACTGTAAGTAATAATGGTGATCACTTTCCGGTGAATCTCGTAATAGTACTTCATAATTTACAGTTATATTTTTTCTCCTTCTTTAGAAAACTGAATCCAATGTTTCAATCTCAAAGGAAGACAAAGAAGGTGCTTGGGGTGGTGCTGCTTCTGCTGATGCTTCTGCTTCAGATGAGGTAATGATACACATATAATCAACAAAATGGGTGTTTGTAGGGTCATCAATTACTTCCTGTCAATTCAGAATCACCTTAAAAATAGTTTTTCATTCAAAAGAGTATGTAATGTTTACTATAAATTTTTATAATTTTTGTCAACAGATAGTTCATCCAAGGAGCCATCTTTGGTCTCAAATTCAAGAAGCTAGGCTGAAGCCGATTTCAAAGGTAAAGAAACTGGAGAATATCATTCCTGTCCCGAATACAATGAGTTTTAAATCTAATATACATAGTTCAGAATAATCCGAATCTAAAGGGTAAAATCCATTGACGTTCCAATTAATAAATTTTATAAACTTTTTATGACATGCTTCCAAACTATCAATAAGATATTGTATGTCAGTATGCCTGACAAATGAACAGTAATCAAATTTTGATAAAACAAATGAATTGAATAATGCATTTAAAGCATTGGTATTTAAAAAAGAATGACATTTTCGATGATAACAATGCTTTCACAGAACTAAAATCATGGTTAATAAATGAGTATCTTTTACATTTTTACTACAAATTTGTATAATTTTTGTCAAAAGAGAGTTCATTCAAAGAGCCAGCTTTGGTCTCAAATTCACGGAGTTAAGCTGCAGCCGATTTCAAAGGTACATAATACGTTCTGAATTACCTTAAATATAGTTTTTCATTCAAAAGAATATGTAATGTTTACTATAATTATGTATAATTTTTGTCAACAGAGAGTTCATCCAAGGGGCCATCTTTGGTCTCAAATTCAAGGAGCTAAGCTGAAGCCGATTTCACAGGTGCCACGTCGTATTGTTTTATCGAAACCTGAAGATGATCTAATGGATGAAGAATCATGAGATTTATCGAAACTATTAGATAGAGAGAAAGAGAATACTTCTCCTAATTCTAATGAAGAGGACGATTTGGCTTCCACTAGATTTTAAGGTGTTATTTTAACAACAAAATGGATTAAAATAAGATGCAATGTTTAAATCATTCTAGGATTAAAATAATCTTTTTTGCTCGTTTCTTTTTGTGTATAGACTGTATAGAGAACTTATAGTTTTGTAGTGAGAAGTCAATGCAAATAAAGAAATTTTTAATATAAGAAAATTAAGGGTTGTGTCGATCATTTATTAATTCCTGTTTCTGCATAGAAGATGGCCGGCTGCCGATATTGTTACTATTTAAGCTATTAGCGATAATTTTATTATTCTTATTATAACGACTAGCAAGTTTCTTTAGAATTTAATGCTTATTAAAAAATAAAAATTTTAATCGATTACGAATTGCGAGCAGTAGAGGTATTTGGCATTAATGAGACATTTAATTAATATTGTCAATAAAAAATTGTAAACAAAATATATTTTCTTTTATTAATAATATTTTTACGCATTATTACACCAGAGTTTCCAGGGTCTCTGATTATCAGCTTTATATATATTTTTTTAAAGTCAAAATTTTAAAGCAGTAAATAATGTGCATGAAATAAAATGAAAAATTTTCTAATAAATAAAGAGCAGCACAAATTTTTAGAGATTAAAAACCAGTATTGTTCTATATCTTTCTATTTGCTGCATTTATTGCTTGCTACTAAAAAACATACTTTTACAATAAAATAATATTTTTCAATGTTTCAAACTTTTGAAAGTCAAAGCAATTAATTCCTCAAGAATTTAAACTAAAAAGTACGATTGTAAGAAAATGACTTAAAAATATTTTTAAAAGATTCTACTGGTTCTATCTTTTTCCTTTTATCTATAATGAAATCATTCTTTTTATCCTTAATTGTAGCTTATATGCTCTTTTAAAACCCATGAGTTACCTAAATTGAAAAATGTTGAAATTTAACAAAATGACTGCGAATTTTCTTAAAAAATTAAAATCTAATTTCCTCAAAAACCTGAACGTTTTTTTCTCTTAATTTTTTGAATAGCTTCTAAATGTAAAATAGTCATTTTCCATAAAAATTTATCGGGGTACCACGTCTTGGGAAAGAATAAAAAAAATTTTAACTTTGAAGAAATGAAAATTTCAAGTTTTTTCAAATCTTTTACTAGATTCAACAAAAATCCGTATAAAACATGTTTTTAATATTCTTTTTATTTTCGTACGAATCACATTGCAAAAATTTTTTTCTGCGCCTAATTAATAATATACACTGAAGTTCTCCAGTATTAAAACGAAATATTTATAATTTAAATTTTTAAACACTGGTTTTCGATGCTAACTTTGATTTTTCGTTTGTGTTTTATTTCTGGATTTCTTTGTTTTTTTATTTTAAGTTATTTTTGAAGAAAATATGAGTAAACATTAATTGAAAATTCACTGATCCAATTTTATATATATATACAAAATAACTTTTGTCATATAATTTTTTAAAATAAATTTTATACTTTAAAAAAATTTTGATTGATTTGCAATTTGAGTAATTAGAAATTCTGTTAAGTAGAAATTCAAGTTAATTTTAATTTAATTTCGATTTAATTGAAAATATCTTTTGTCTAATAAATGCTAATGAGGAAATGCTGCTAACCTAACAATTATTATCTAACATCAAAACCGTGAAAAAGACATGTTTAAACAATTTTTTCCAATAATTATTATTCATTAAAATTATACAAAAGTACAGAAAAGAGTTAATTTTTTAAAGAAAAATTTTAAAGCAGTTAAAAGTAAAATATTATTCAATTTCTCAAATTCAATACACGTGTTTTCTGAAAATTTCCAGTATTATTATCAATGGATTGAAAAAAAGAAATGTAATGTTTAAAATTTTGATAAGTAAATTATTTCTTTTTTATGACAGCGCATGCATTCAAAAGATTCCACTGTTGTATGTCTTCAAAAATATTATATTTGTAGGTTTTTGATTAACTCTATAAGACACCATGTTAATTTATTCACAAATACATATTTCGTTTTTTGTTACAAGGAAGAAAATAGCGTTTTTTTTTTCTTCTGATGAGATGGAAAATATGGTCAAAAGTTACAAAAACCAAAACAGAAAACAAATTCTTAAAAATTAAAATTTGTGTAAATAAAAATAAAAAATTATAAAAAATTTTTAATTTAAAAAATTTTTATTAATAAAAAATTCTGATAAAGTAGAAATTTAAGTTAATTTTAATTCTATTCCCATTAAGTCCCATGAAGAAACCAGCCATTGTATTAAAAAACTAAAAAAAAGATTTACCAGTTTTTTTTTTTTTTTTTTTTTTGTTGTTTAACAACAATTGTTTAAACAAATTAATAAAAATAAAATCTTTTTTGAAAACTTAACGCTAATCGATTTTACGTGGAAAAATAAGAATGTTTTGTATGAGTCATTTTTTTCTCCAAGTCGTATTTTGTTTATAAAATTGTTATAAACAAATTATGCTTGGTAAAGGGTGTTTCATCTTAAGCATAAACAAATAGATTTTAAGTAAAACTGACAATTGGATTCATAGGCAAATTGAAAAAAAAGATATACTTATTACAAAACAATCTTATTTTTCCCCGTAGAATCGATTGGCGTTAACAGTTTTCAAAAAATTTTAAATTTTTATTAATTTGTTTAAACAATTGGAAATTAAAAACAAAAAAACAGGTATACCTTTTTTTCCATTTGCCTATGAATCCAATTGTCAGTTTTACTTAAAATTTATTTGTTTATTCTTGGGAAAAAACAACTTTTATCCAGCATAATTTGTTTATAACAATTTTATAAACAAACTACGACTTTGAGTAAAAAATGACACATACAAAATTTTCTTATTTTTTCAAATAGAGTCGATTAGCTTCAACAGTTTTCAAGTATTTAAAATTTTTTATTAATTTGTTTAAACAATTGTTGTTAAACAATTGGAAATTAAAAACATAAAATGTATGCAATATTGAGTATGGAAAAAAAATTTTGAAAAAATATATTAAAAAGTTTATAAAATTATTTTTTACACTTTACATTAACATTAAAAATTTATGAAACAAAATTTAAAAAATCGACTTTCACAGATTTTTTTAGAATTTAGTTCTAAGTGCGAGGAAAAAATTAATTTTTTAATTTGGTTAAAACTTGTGATCTAAAAGTTCATTTGAACCAAATTTTATCTTTTTATCCCACTGTGGAGCGCTGCGAGCGCGGTCACAAAAATATTAATAACTTTTGACCTAATGCAAGGTACTAACTTTTCTTTTTTTTGAAATACTTGTGATAAAATAGGGAATCATAATTCATAATTGACCAGAAAAAATACGAAATTAGGAGAAGTTTATTTTATTTCTATTTGTTTATAATAATTGTTGCTACTTTAAACAAATTATAAACAAAATCTAACAAATATTTTTTGTTCGAAATTATGATTATTGTATGTTACTCATACCAAATTTTATTAAAATTCATCAAATAAAATGGTAGGAAAAAATTTTTCAATAATGTAATGCGTAAAAATTGTTTAAACAATAACTATTGAAAAATTTTTAATTTTGCAAAATTAACTTTGGGGTCAAATATTATGCAATATAAAAAAACTCTCCATCTAAAAATTAGTGGCATACTTCAGAAATTTTGAGCCTTAAACCATTTTTTTAAAAATGATTATTTATTAAAATTAAAGATTATATGTTTTTTGGGTCGCTGAATTCGAATCCGAACTCAGTTTTCCGCCATCACGTCAAGTTTCTTCACAAATTAATAAAATTCGAAAAAAACTGACTGTAAACAAGATTTAGATAAAAATTCAAAATTTAAGATGGCCGATCCAATATGGCGTCGATTTTTTTCTAAATTCACCCGATTCGCCTGAAACTTGTTACTCGGGGGTTTTTGGGGTTGCCAAAAACGAATTTCACCTCAAAAATTCAAAATGGCGGATCCAATATGGCTGACCAATTTAAAAAAAAAAATTATAATTGAATTTCGGCTAAGAATTTTGCTTTTCATAAAGATAATTGAAATCTTGACTAGAATTATTTTTAAATTTTTGAAAATAATTGAATTTCTTTAAAGGAAAATTTTATTTCTTTTCAAAATAATTGAATTTTTGCAATGAATTTTAATAAAATTCCTGAAAGTAATTGAATTCCTATGAAATATTTTATTATTTGTAAAAATAATTGAATTATATTGAATGGAACAATTGAATAAAAAATTTGATTAAAATTTTTTGAAATGATTGACTTTTTTAAATTATTTTATGAAAATTTGAAAGAATAATTTAATTATTTCGAATAATAATTTATTAAAAATAGTATTAAAAATAATTGTATTCTTCCGATGAATTTTATTATTAATGAAAATAATTAATTTCTTATAAACAAAAGACATTTTAAAAATAATCGAATTCTTGCTAAGAATTTTACAAACAATTTTTAAAAAATGTAAATAAATTTTAGTTTAATTTTCAACTAATTGAAATACTGTGAAATTTTTATATTTTAGAAAATAATTGAATGTTTGTGTAGAATTTTATCAAATTTTTTTTTTAAATAATTGAATTTTTTGAAAAATTTTATTAAAATAGTAAATAAAAAACAATGAATTGAGGAAAATTATGAAAATAATTAAAATTTTTGACATTCTTTTAAAATTGTTAGAATTTTTTTTATGAAACATAGCTTTACTGTAAGTCTTAAAAAATACTATATTTGTACATTTTTGATCAAATTTATAAGACACAATGCTAATTTAAAAATTAATTGCTAATATTTCGTTTTTTGTTAGAAAAAAGAAAATATCGTTTTTTTTTATTTTTATGAATTAGCTGGATATTTTGAAAAATGATAATTTAACTAAATAAAAATTCTGATAAAGTAGAAATTCAAGTTAATTTTAATTCTATTAATCATAGCTTTTGCCTAAGTGACTCAAGCTAATGGCGACTGCTGTTAACCTACGAATTGTTATATCCAACTTTAAAACCTAAAAATCTCATGATTATACCATTTTTTACAAAAATTATTTACCAAATTTATAAAAAATTCCAAGAAGAGTCAAGTTTTCAAAGAAAAATTTCAAAGCAGTAAAAAGTTAAATTTTCATTTTTTTGAAGTCAAAGTCATGAAAATTCTAAATGTTAAGACATATAAAAATATCTCCATCGAAAAATTAGTGGCATACTTCATAAATTTTGAGCCTTAAACCATGTTTTAACAATTATTTATAAAAATTAAACAAAATACCGAGAAGAGTCAATTTTTTAAAGCAAAATTTTAAAGCAGTAAAAAGTAAAATTTTTCAAATTCAAAGTCATGTATTTTCTAAAAATTTCTAAGAGTATTATCACTGGAATGCAAAAAGAAAAATGTAATGTCTATAAATTTGATAAGTAAATTATTTCTCTTTTATGACAGCGCATGCCTTCTAAGGATTACACTGCAGGCACTTGTTGAGTATAAATACGATCGAGCAACAAACACTTATTCACATTACTGAAAATTTTCAATTACTTTTCTTACATATCTAAGTAATATTTCAGTAGTAATCTGCCCAAAAAATTTTTAAAAAATGATCTCTTTAAAATGTGTTTTACTACTAATTTTCTTTGCCACCGATCTAGCAATCGGAATGCGAGGATCATCGATTAGAAACGTAAGTTTAACTAAATTAACATTTTGTAATTTACTTTTCTATTTTATCTCCAATTTTTATTGTGTACAAATTTTTAAGAAATTCACTTATTCTTAGGAGGCAGTCACCCTTAAATAATAATTTGAATTTGTAGTTAAAATAAAATGTGTAATTGCATTTTCGAGTTAAAATTTAGATCCTATATGATCCCCTCTTTTTAAAACTCTATTGAACCTGAAAACGGAAAAATTCGGAAAAATTCGTACTCCAATGTTTAGAGATTGAAAAGAGGATTTCAAATTTTTAAATTTTTGTCTACCCTAATAGATTTATTGAAATCATTCAAAAATTAATGTTTACATTTTCTACAGGGCAATTGAAATATAAATTTGTGAAAAAATTCCAATTTTAGTTTTTAAAAAATAGTTTTATTTTCTTCTTCTTTTCCTATTATAGAAATGTTCATCAAAAGCTTTAAATTTTCAGGAAGAGAAAGAAGGTGCTTGGGGTGGTGCTTCTTCTGCTGATTCTTCGGCTTTAGATGAGGTAAGGTTATAAGGTAACAGTCAGACAATAATGTTCTGCACATATTAGAAAATCCAAAATTTTCAAAAAGTAGGACTAAAAAATCGAGAATTACCTTAAAAATAGTTTTCCATTCAAAAGAATATGTAATGTTTTCTATAATTATGTATAATTTTTGTCAACAGAGAGTTCAGCCAAGGAGCCATCTTTTGTCTCAAATTCAAGGAGCTAGGCTGACTCCACGGGTACCAAAACGTTTTGTTGTAAAAAAAATTGAATTTCGGAAAAGTTAAAAATGATTGCAGAGATTCAATTATTTTCAAAACTAATAAAATTCTTCGCAGAAATTCAATTTTGTTAAAAAAAATTTTAAAATTCTCTTCAAAACTTCAATTATCCTTATAAACAATAATCTTCTCCGAAATTCAATTATTTTCAAAAAATTTAATAAAATTCTTTCCCGAAATTCAATTATTTTCAAAAAATTTAATAAAATTCTTTACAAAATTTCAATTAATTTCAAAAAGTTTCCTAAAGTCAATGTTTTTCAAAATCTACTTTTTTATTAAAAATTTTGCAAATGAATTCAATTATTAAAAAAAAATTTTTTCATAGACAATAAAATTCATCACAGGACTTCAATTATTTTAAATACAATTTTACAGGAATTGCGCAAAAAATGTAATTATTCTTAAAAATTTAATTTCAATTCCTCAAAAAAATTAATTATTATTTAAATTCAGGGTTGCCACGCAACCTAGAAACCTGGAAAACCTGAAAAAGTCAGAGAATTTTGATCGAAATCCTGGAAAATTGTTCTTTTCTAAAGTTTATTCTTGAAATCTAATTTTACATAAATATTTCAAAATTAATTATAAATTATAAAAAAGTTACGTTTACAATTTTCATCAGTATAGATGAATTTCAAAAGATTTTAATTTAAAATTTTGTAAAATTTAATTAGAAATCGTCTTAAAGAACGTAGATTTTTGAAAAATTTTAATTATTCAAATTCTTCTGAAATTAGTTTTTGTTAATATATATAATTTTTATTGATTATTAAAAAAAATGGATTTATAGAAGAATTTTAATTAAAAACACTAAAAGAAATTGATTTTTGAAGCAATTACAAATGATTGCAGAAATTCAATTATTTTGCAAAAGTAGTAAAATTCTTCTTAGAAATTCAATTATTTCCAACAATTTTAATAAAATTCATGGTAAAATTTCAATTATTTTCAAAAAATTTCCTCAATTCAATGATTTTTAATAAATCTACTACATTAATAAAATTCTCCAAAAGAATTCAATTATTTAAAAAAAATTTTAATAAAATTTTACGTTAACATTTCATTATTTTTATAAATAATAAAACTCATCGAAGACTTTGAATTATTTTTAATACAATTTTAATTGAATTCCTCGAAAAATGAAATTATTCTTAAAACTTTTTTAAAATTCATCAAAGAAATTCAATTATTTTAAAAACCTTTGCTACAATTTATTTATTAGAATTTAAGTATTATTTTCTATAAAGTTTTAATTAAATTTCTTGAAAAAATTAGATTATTTTCGAAAATTTTAATGAAATTCTTTGTAGCAATTTAATTTTTTTTTCAAAAAAGTTTTAATAAAATTCTTCGCAGAAAATTTTAAAAATTTCAAAAATTTGTCAAAATTAAATTATTTTCAATGTCTACTATTTCAATAAAATTTCATAAAAGAATTCAATTATTTAAAAAGACATTTTAATATAATTCGTCTCAAGAATTCAATTATTTTCAAAAGTAATATAATTCTTCGCAGAAATTTAATTGTGTTCAACAATTTACAAAAATTCTTGTCAAAATTTCAATAATCTTTATAAATTTTTCTCCGAAATTCAATTATTTTCAAAAATTTTAATAAAATTCTTGGCAAAATTTTAATTATTTTCAAAAACTCTTAAAAAATTCTTTGGAGAAATGCAATTATTTTTAATAAAAATTTTAATCAAATTTCCGAAAAATGAAATTATTTTTAAAAATTTTATTAAAATTTGTCAAGAGAATTCAATTATTTAAAAATTTGTTGATACAATTCTTTATGAGAATTCAATTTCAAGAAACATTCAATTATTTAATAAAATATTAATTTTCGTATTTAAATAATTGAATTTTCATGGATTTTTTTTAGTAAATATTAATTTAAAAATGAATTTCAGTTAAAATTTTAGATTATTATTGAATATTGAAAGCAATATAACGTAAATTTTTAGAAATAATTGAATTTCCAAAAGGTTTCAAATTAAAATCTTTGAAAATTTGAACTTTTCATACTTTTAATTAACAATTCTGTAGAATTTATTTTTTAAAAAAGTTTAATTGAATTTTTCTTTAATTCTTCATGTTCTTATTTTCTAATATATATTTAATTGAAGAATTTCAGAATAATCGAAATTACGTAAAAAATTAATACATATTGAAAATAATTTAATATTTACGAAGAATTTTATCATTTTTGCAAAAAATTGAATTCTTGCGGAGAATTTTATCAATTTTGAAAGTAATTGAATTCTTGCGAAGAATTTTGTCAATTTTAAAAATAATTGAATTATTTCGAAAAATTTTATTCAAAATTTTTGAGAATAATTGAATTCCTGTGAATAATTTTATTATCTATAAAAATAATCAAATTCTTGACAAAATTTTTAAGGAAATTTAGAATTAATTTTTCTCAAAAAGTTTAATGGAATTTTTTTTAATTATTTGAAGTTTTTAATTTCTAATATATGAAGAATGTCAGAATAATCGAAATTTTAGGTAAAATTGAATTGTAAACAAATGGATTCAAAAATTCTCAAAAAAAGAACTTTTTCAAAAATTATTTTAAAAAATTGATTTAAAGAAGAATTTTAGTTTAAAATTCTAGAAATGAAGAATTCAATTGAAATGAAAATAATTTTGAAGAAATTACAGTAATAATATTTTTATAATATAAAATAATGGTAGTATCCAGTTTTAATAATTATAAAACATGAAGAAAACGATTACTCCGAGTCGAAGACTCGGAGTGATCGATATTTTCATGTTTTATAATAATATTCTTATATGTTATTGAATTAAAAATTTTTGAAAATTGTAATTTCTGTAGAAAAATAATAATAGGTAATGATTAAATATTTATTTAAGAACGAAGTTATTAATATTCGCCGAAAAAATTCAATTATTTAAAAATTTGTTAATAAAATTCTTTATGACAATTTAATTTTGCTAAACATTGGATTATTCAATGTATTATTAATTTTTTTTATTTAAATAATTGAATTCTCGTGAAATTTTCTTATAAAAATTGATTTAAAAATGAATTTTAATTAAACTTTTAAATAATAATTGAATATTAAAAGCATTAAAGCATGAATTCTGAAAAGATTTCGAATTAAAATTTTTGAAAATCTAAATTAGTTATAATTTTAACAAACAATTCTTTAGAATTAATTTTTTTGAAAAAGTTTAATAGAATTTTTTTTTCTTGAAATTATATCAAGTTTTTAGTTTCCAATATAATATTTAAATGAAAAATTTCCGAATAATCGAAATTTCTGAAAATAGTATTTTAAATAAATGGCAATTCAAAAATTCTCAAGAAACTTCTGCAAAAAAAATTATTAAAAATAATTGACAATTGATTTCTTTTGAAGAATTCCAATAAAACTTTTGAAAACATTTACATTTTTTCGAAGTAATTACTCAAAAATCTTATTAAAAATAATTTAAATCCTGTCATTGATTCGATGGCATTTTTTCTCAGTGCATAAGAATAGTTTTGTATTTAAAATAATGTTGTACGTATTTTTTACGCTAAATTTGTTTAATTTTTTTCAACAGAGAGGCCAACTTTTGGCTGACATTCAAGCAACTAAGCTGAAGCCGATTTCATATAGAGCACGTCGTGTTCATAAATTAGAACCTAAGGATAGTCTAATGGATGAACTTTCATTAAAATTAGCACAACGAGCAGCTAGACAGAGAGAGAGGTCTCTCAATAGGCGTCATGAAAATGAATAATTGTTGTTATTAGCAATATAAAATTTGCTATATTCACTTACTCCAAGTTTGGGATATTTGTGTTTGCAAACATTAATTTGAATTTATTACATTAACATTATTAAATATTTTATTAAAAATATTATTTTGCTAATACTATTCATATTAATATTATTTTATTACAATTAGCATTACAATTAATATTATTTTTAATATACGGAAAAAAATTACTGTGTTATCCACAGTATATTTCTTTCACCATCTGCAAACTGATTTTGTGTATTCAACAAAAGTTGCGTTGTAGGATAAATAGAATATTTTTTTCCGTGTATATTATTTCTATTATTATGACGACTTGCGGATTTGTAATGAAAATATTTTGTCCGCTTATAATTTTGTCAACGATTAAAGAAGTTCCAGTGGATTGTAATTTTTAAATTAAATTAAAATCAGTAAACTTAAATGATTTTTAACAATGGAATATTAGATATCTTATTATTAAATAACAATTTATGTTATGTATGTATTTCGTTCAATAAATATTTAAATACTTCTTGTTTGTTTTTAGTTCTTTATAATGATTCTAACTGTCCATGCTTTTTAAGTTATTAATTAATTTTCAAAAAATTATAATAAAGAAGTTCTTAAAATTAATTTTTCAAAAATATTTTAAAAATAATTTATGAAAGATAATAGTGTTTCAATGATAAAGAATTGAAAAATTTCCAAACAATTGCAATTTGGTAATTTATATTTCAAAAATAATTGAATTTTTAAAGAATTTTAATTATTAATATAAACGCAATTTCTTCAAAATTTTAATAAATCTAAAAAAGTCATATGTTGTTAAAATGTTAAAAATAATTGAAAAAAATTTTAATTTTATTATTTTTTGTATGTATTTGAATTTTTTGGAAATTTGTAGTTGAAAATATTGAAAATAATTGAATTTTACAAAATTAGAATGCAAAAAATTCTAAGAATTATTTTTTTCAAAAATATTATGATATAATTTTTTTGAAGTTAATTTTCATTAATTACCATTTTTAAATTTACACTTAAAAGATTTTTCATTAAAATTTTTGAGAAATCAATTATTTTCAAAATTCGCAATTAAAAATCTTCAAAAGTTGATTTTCAAAAATTTTTATAAAAGACTTTGAAAAAAATCAATTATTTTCAATTAAATTTTACAAAATTTCAATTATTGAAACTCTCTTTTTATTGTAAATTTGAAAAATTTATTAAGTATTTAATATTTATAAAAATAGTTGTATTTTCTCGAAAAAATTATTAAAATTTTAGGAAATAATTGAATTTTATAGAAATATTTGAATTCTTCCGAGAAATTCAATTAAAGACGTCAAAAGTTGATTTTCAAAAATTTTTACAAAACACTTTGAAAAAAATCAATTATTTTCAATTAAATTTTACAAAATTTCAATTTTTAAAACTCTTTTTTTATTGTAAATTTTAAAAATTTATTTAGTATTTAATATTTATAAAAATAGTTGAATTGTTTCGAAGAAATTATTAAAATTTTAGGAAATAATTGAATTTTATGGAAATATTTGAAAATATTTTAATTCTTCCGAGAAATTAAAATAAGATATTTTGAAAATAATTGAATTTCTGCAAAGAATTTTACTATTTTATAAAAATAATTGAATTCTTGCGAATAATTTTGCCATTTATAGAAATAATTGAATTGTTTCGAAGGATTTATTAAGATTTTAGAAAATAATTGAATTTATTCGAAATATATTAAATTTTTTTAAAAATTAAATTCTTCCGAGGAATTCAATTTCAATTATTTTCAAAATTTGCAATTCAAATTCTACAAAAGTTGATTTTCAAAAATTTTTATAAAACACTTTAAAAAAAATCAAATATTTTCAATTAAATTTCACAAAATTTCAATTATTGAAACTCTTTTTTTATTGTAAGTTTTAAAAATTTATTTAGTATTTAATATTTATAAAAATAGTTGAATTGTTTCGAAAAAATTATTAAAATTTTAGGAAATAATTGAATTTGTTTAGAAATATTTGAAAATATTTGAATTCTTCCGAGAAATTCAATTAAAGATGTTTTGAAAATAATTGAATTCCTGCAAAGAATTTTACTATTTATAAAAATAATTGAATTCTTGCGAATAATTTTGCCATTTATAAAAATAATTGAATTGTTTCGAAGGATTTATTAAGATTTTAAAAAATAATTGAATTTATTCGAAATATATAAATTTTTTTTTTAAATTATATTAAATTTCAATTATTTTCAAAATTTGCAATTAAAATTCTACCAAAGTTGAATTTCAAAAATTTTTAAAAAACACTTTTTAAAAAATCAATTATTTTCAATTAAATTTTACAAATAATTGCAATATTTATTGAAACTCTTTTCAAATTGTAAATTTCGAAAATTTAAATAGAGAAATTATTAAAAAATCATTTTTGAAGATTTTTCTATAGTTATTTTTCACACTATATATAAAAATCGAAATAAGTTTCATTTTATACTAAAAATTATTGCAATATTTGGGAAAAAAGTCGAAAAAGTCGTAATTTTTCAAAAAAAAGTCGAAAGAAGTCGCATTTTTTGAAAATAGTAAAAAAAAAGTCGTAAATGTTATAATATCCGAGGCCTGAAAGTAAAATTTTCATTTTTAGTTAAAAAAAAGTTGCAAATTGAACCTTATTTACGAAATTGTCACTTTTTTTATCATAATTCGAAAGAACGTACAAATTGAAACATTAAAAATCTTGTAGTAAACAGTTTTAGAGTTTCCGGCCATAGCAGAGTATATAATTAAATTGAGATGTCTCATGCGACCTAAATATTATTCCGTGAATATAATAAACTTTGAGAATATATGAAAATAGAGAAACAACATTATTCGGGTGTTTGTGAGCATTAAACTTTTAGAGTTCATATATGATGTAAATGCGATAAAATGGAATATCTTTTCAGTTCTGTTTGCCGTTGGTTGACCTTTTTCCCAACCCCCACATTCTCAGGAAATATACACCATTTTCTTTTATGTATATTTAAAAAAAACCTTTTTACACAAGAGTACGTGAGAGGGTTACTGCATTTTTATTTACTTGGAAAAAGTCAAAAAAAAAGGGTCAACTAAATTACCGTAGCACATTTCGTCTTTTGCATACATAGATCTGTTAAATATACACCAAGGGATAGATATATAGAGACATCATCAAGATTCATAAATTCATATACACGCATGATTAGAGGATTATTAACTGACATGTTATCTAGATACATATTTAGCGACCAATATTGGCTAATTAAGGGAATATCGACATCTGTGCCAAAAAGCGGAAATTATGAATATTAATTAGGGGAATATAGTCAGGGTTGGACAACTTTTTAAACTTTGTTTATAACTGGTTTTGAAAAATAAATTTCGAAATTTAGAACTTTTAGAAATATAGCCAAAAACTGTCAAATATAGAGAAACCTTGAAAAATTCTTTCTTCAAAACTAAAAATTAATAATCTTAACCCGGCGAGCTTAACCTTCACCTTAAGGTAGGATAAAACTTACCCTGTGTAATATTCATTCCTCGATAACTAATTTAAAAAAAAAAAATTTTTTAATATTAATTTTTAATAGCTGCTCTGGATACGGTAAAAAAACCAAAAAAGAATAAAGAAACAATTTTTTTTACACTTCTTATTGTTTATTTAATTTATAAATATTATTTATACATGTATGCTGACTATAAAACACCCGGATTATTGTTTTTTGCATAATGTAAAGAAAAGTTGGAATTATGAAGGTATTTCACTACTAATGGTTACTAAGGATAAACAATATATTTTACTAATATTACAATGAACTTTTCATTTGATTAAACAATTTATTATTGATTATTTATAACAATTTCCAAAACAAAATAGAGAAAAGCAAATTTCTATAAATTTGTCAGCTTTTATAATTGTTATTATTTAATGTTAAATCAATAACTTAAATAAAATATTAAATTAAATCTGCTAGTTATTATTTAACATTGTTTAAACAATTAATTGTTGTTACATATTAACTTCTAACCCATTGCACATAGAAAGATGTAGTTTTTGTCATATTTTGCAATTTCGGACCTACTTATAATAACCGATAATAATGTTAAATGTCAAATCAAAATTTTTTTATGGTGCAATGGGAAAAATGTTAAAAAATAACAACAATTGTTTATTTAAACAATTTTATGCAAAATAGTTGTAAGCAGTTTAACTAAATTTCTTATTTGGATTATTAATTTAGATTACAGGACAAAAAATCCAATTCAAAATATCCAGAACGAAAAATCCATGGAAAAAAGTCCAAAGTTAAAAAAATCCAAAATAAAAATGGCCAAACTCCAAAAAATCAAAAATAAATAATTAAACATGTGAAAAAGCCAAGTTTTTACTTTTTACGCTATAAAATCGGAATTTAAAATGTCAATGTGAAAATCGCAGGACTTTAATTATTTACATAAATAATAAAATTGTACACAAAAATTCAATTATTTTCATAAATAATAAAATTCTTCACAAAAATTGAAATATTTTCATAAATAAAAAAAATTTATAGAAAAATTTCAATTTTTCTATAAAACTTTTAAAACAATTATTCCAAGAAATACAATTATTTTTAACAATTTTGATAAAATTCGTTACAAAAATTCAATTTTTTTCAATATAATTCCAATTAAATTACACTCGATTAATTTAATTATTTTCAGAATTTTAAAATGTTAAGTTTACATACTTTCGATTCACAGTCATAAAAATGACAATTTCATTCAAGGCAACCATTTAAGTTTTTAAATCTCAATTTTTTTTATTAGATTTTTAATTTCATTAGACTTTTTGACCAGGGATGCGTTCATGTAATTTTCACTTTCACTAACAAATTTTCACTTTTAATTTTCCTTAAAATTTTGTATGTTCATTAAAAAATATTTTTACTTTAATTATTTTTACTTTTTTTTACTTTTTACTTTGTTTAATTTTCAACCCAAAAATATTCAGTCACTTAAAAAAATGTTCACTTTGACTTGGAAATTTTCGAATTTTGAAGTGAAAGTGGAAATAATTTGAGTCAAAGGAAAACATTCTTTGAGTGATAGTGAGAATTTTTTTGAGTGAAAATATTTGTAGTCAAAGTGAAAGTGAAAATTTTGTGAGTAAAAATGAAAATTAGTTGGGTGAAGGTGAATATTTTTTAAGGAAAGTAAAAATTTTATAAGTGAAGTCAAAATTTTTTTAGTGAAGGTGAAAATTTTTGTAAGGAATGTGAACATTTTTTGAGTTGATGTGAAAGAGACAATTTTTTTTAGTGTAGTCAAATTTTTTTTTTTATTAAAAGTGACAAGTTTTTTCGCTTTTATTAAAAAAATTGCTACGTTCATTAAAAAAATTTTGACTTTCAATAAAAAAATTCTTATTTTCACTTTCACTCAAAAAGTTGTCACTTTCACTCAACAAATTTTCACAGATATGAAAAAAATTCTCACTTTTACTAAAAAAAATTTTGACCT